AACACAATCGAATTTTGACGGTTAAGGAAGAACATGTGAAGCCAGTTATAATCTTCTTATGAACGCAAGATGATGCAGTAGCAGGCTGACCAGTGGACGATGCAACATCGGTCAAAGCAATCAATTACATTTTGGAGGGCCACGCTTTGAACTGCGGTGGATAATACAGGTCAATAATGACCTGCGCAACAGGTCATTATTGACCTGTATTATGAATACCCTATCTTTCAAGGAAAAAAATAGCTCGCAGTACAATCCGTCGATAACCATATGGAGCTCTTTTTAGACCAAAGATCTTTGTTATGTGAATGGGAAGTAATTGTACTCAACTTCTTTGTGCACGGAAGTTTAAAAGGAAATGAAATCTTGCTAATAAAAAGGGCAGAATTTAAAGCTCGAAGAAAACACGGATTATTTTGTCGTAGAACAGAACAAAACAGTCCGTCTCTTCATGCGTCTCCTTTAGCTCCAAACCTGTCAGAAGGCATTTTTTTTTTCACGGTTCAGCGCCTCCGCCTTATACAAAGGACAATAACATCTCAAAAACAGAGCTCACGAAATTCAAAAAATTTGAAAGAGCTCAGCTCTCCTTTTTCCGCTATGCTGCCATTTCATTGTTCTCTCTGATGAACAAAAACACTGATTCGTTGACAGTCTGAGCGAAGAACCGAAAACTTGTCGAGACTGCTGATGATTGTATGGATGAAAGCGATGAAGTAAGTCAGTGTGCATTGCAGAAAAAAAACTCATTTATTTTCAAAAATTTCAAAACAAAAGCCATTTTTGCATGAAAAAATTTGCAAAACACAATGAGTCGTACCTTTAAATTAAGGGGAACAAGTGTATCATTAATGAAATTTCGAGTACTGAAGAGAATCTTACAACTGTCCGGTTGCTGGAAATCAGTTCCTCTACGATTCGTTCATTCGTTTTGATGGTAAACTGGTATCAGCGCACACCAGGAGGTCAAACCCGTCATCAACTTGCTTGTAAGCACTACTCAAAATAAATATATGCATACATAAGACAGATAAGGCTGATAATCACATGCAAATAATCGGGGATAAAGATTTAAATTAGCTTTGACTAATAAGAGAATTACAGCTTCGTAATATCACAAAATCTACACCATCATCCTGGTAACCGGGGAAGGGGAATCGCTGAGGGAAGTGAATTTAAGTTAGTTTCGGCTGAAACAAAATGACGATGAATTTCTCAGTAATACCGCAGAATTTATGGCAAAATTCCGGAAAACGTAGATTTTCAGGTCCCTGTTCTCTTTCCAATTTCCCTATCAAAAATATTCATTGTTTGTATTTTTTTTAAAAATTTTTACAACATTTTATAGTAAAAAATTGAAAAATTAGAACATTAAATTATACAGATGTACGAAACCTCAACAGTGCCCGATGACAATAATTCGGAGGAGACAGTGAGCACATTCTAAACATACATAAGATGGTGATGGGCACGTTGCGCCTCCTAAGCGGATTGAGGATTTGAAGCGCAATGAGGCGAACGAGCCCCGTTGCCCTTCGATACACAACCAACAACCATTACACCATAAATATCGCAACAATGAACCTCACTACCACTCATACTACCGCCAGGTGAGCAGCACCTGAACATAGTCAGCCAGCCAACTACAGAGACAACAGGATCATAGACAAACAGGTAGGGAGACTTGGGTCGTTGAGGGAATAGAGTGGACAGCACAGGGGTCATGTCCAGAGTGACCGCTGTATGCCCTCATAAAAGCAAAATCGCTATAGCATGTGACCTTGGATTTATGCTGAGCTCCGAAAAGGTCACACCGAGAAGGGTGGTTCTCGATTTCTGATTGCTTGTAATTTTATTTACAAGTAACCAAATATTTCAAATATTCAGTTACTCAAATAGGTAGTTTTTTCCGGGAACAAGAGCATCTGAGATACGGAAAAATACAAAAATCCAGAAAAATACGAAAAATACAAAAAGCGAGGAGATGTAAAAAAAAATATAAAAATCGAAATTTATGAGTATTTAATGATGCAAAAGGATTCTGCAGCGTGGTAGGCCATTGTGGATAGAAAATATTCTTCGCCTGTTCAATCAAGCTTTTCACACTGTCCACTTCAAGCACCTAAAAATGCTTTTATGGAAATGATCTTGAAAAAAAACCAGTTTTTTCCTACACCACAAATCACGAAGAAAACCACCCAGCCAATCCAAACGGGAATCGCATGATAATGATGTTACCAGAGTGCTCTCATAGGGAATTAAAAAAAAAAAACTGCCAAAAATAGATGAGAAGGGAATTACTGCAAGCGAGAACTGAACTAAGAAAATGCAAATGAGTGCAAAGTGCTCGGAGGGAAAATTACTGCAAGCGAGAATTGAACTAAGAAAATGCAAATGAGTGCAAAGTGCTCGGAGGGAAAATTACTGCAGAGAGCAAATTGAAGCTGCCACAAAAAAAAAAAAACAAGGAAATCCGGGAAAAGGGCTCCAAAATGAAGGAAGTCTATGAATTATGAAAAAAGGCTAACTGCAAAGAATTTCATTTCATCTCTAATTCTTGATATGTTTTAGTACTCAACTAATCAGACATGGCTATGCCGGTCCCTTTAATCCTGAGCTGCATACTGCCTGTTCGATGCAGTATCTTTTCGGAGGGCACTGAGCGGTCTTTCGCTTTTCTGCCAGTACCACTCACTAACACACTCAAGCAACATGCCTTGCCCATCTGAGCTTTATTATCTCGCTTAATCGCAATAATACTTTGCACATTGCTCATCTGACGGAATGATTTCACTCCAAACATCCTTCGCTTCATCGCTCCTTTGATCACATCCGATGAGTGCTGATCAATTTTAGCAAATGACCACATTTCACATTTGCATGCCCTTGGTTTTTTCGCGAGAAGCGGGCATAATCCTTCCGACAGAAATTCCTAAGGATCTCGACGATGCTGTAGAATTTGTAACCAACTGGCAGTCTACATGCAATTTCCCGTTGGAAATTGGCAAAGTTTATTTACTTATCAAAACATCTGTGACTGTCAGCTTCTTCCAAGCTAGTGCTATCCTTGTCACGGATATTCCGACACTTAGAGCCTTCTTCATTCTCGAAGCGTTGATTTTCAGGCCCAGTTGCTTTCTCTGCGCAAAGTATCTCACTGATTTCGGTATCTCAACTGATTTCGAAAATGCTGCTCACACAATAAAAAATACTGTGGAACGCAAAGTTATTTGGTACTTCCCAATGATATTCAAACCATGTTCTAAATTCAGAATGCACAATACCATCTGACGGAGAATTCCATGAACTATTAAACGATAGCAATAAAGTTCACAGTGTGCGGTGTCATCGACCATCAAAAATTCTGAGACGCGTGATATAGTTGTATATTATGACCTTCTTCGGATTGTAAAATATGTAAAAAGAGAAATCGTTCTCCCCGCTTAGTGCTTTCGAAAAATTCCTTTCAATTTTTCCAGCATATGGAGCCATTATCGCTCCTCTCCTTTCTTCCAAATTCAGCATCGGAACAGTTATCGCTTCTCACTTCTCCTCACCAATATTCAGCTTCCAAGTGGTTGCCACTCCTCATTTTTTCAATCGACTACTGCTGAGACAAGCAAAGGGGAAAGACGCCAATCAAATGAAGAAAGCCTCAAAGTGGATCAGCTACTAGCCCGGAGATCGATCTCTTCCCAAATTTGCGTCAGTATTCGTTGCGTTACATATTCGTTTTGACGGGGTAAACAGATAATCACTGACGCCTGAGTACTGCCAAAAACGTTTAGCCATGCCAGATGATTTCTTAATTAAAGCAGCAACCGGTATGTTAAAATTTGCGGGAAATCAGTTTGCAACAAAGAAAAGCAAAAATTCTGCCATGCCATTTCGGAACAAGTGCGAAAAGCTTGAGCTATATAGGGCTCCCCTAACTCTATTAAAATAACGACAACTTATTCGATAAACATAAAGACTAAAGAGGAAAGAAGTATGGGGCCTGTCAAAGAGGCAATAGCCTCTTATTATTATATTCTTATAACTATTATTATACTAGTGAATATTAAGTTAAGATGTCAGTAATCATTAAAAATAATTACCAAAAACCATACATATAGTGACCCGTGGAAAATACAAACAAAATTTTTGAAAAAAAAAATCATTCAAAACAGTTCCCAAAATATTGTGCCAAAATATAAAGCACACTGCTTCATGGTATTTTAGGATTTGCCACTTTCCCATGCATAACTACGCATAGAATATGTGTCCCAAAATTTATAAATTTGATACGTTCCTTTAAAACTGGAGTTTCTGAATTTAATGCCTAATGTAAAAAAACATGTTTCCATTTAAAAGCGATAATTAGCTTATAACAAATAAAGAAAAGGGCAAGAAAGGGACACCTCGGTTCTGAAGTTCAATTCGAAAAAACAGCACTTTAAAATTTTGTCACTAATTTTGTCATTATTTAAATTTTGTCTGCAAATTTTGTGACTAATTATTTAAATGCGGTATTATCACGAAGTTCCAGCGTTAGGTTTCGTATTTTTAGACTCATCTGTCTTTTTAAAGCAATTCGGTGCAATTTACCACAAAGTATTCCCACACGTTTTTTCTTGCACAAAAAAATGGGTGTTACGAAAAACTCGCGAAAAGCCGGCAACTGCTGAAAGGGTGTGTTGTACAAAGTGCAGCAGACTGGCGGTAGACAGTATATGTAAGAGTGCCATACATACAGAATATATGTGCTCCAGCAAAGTGCGTGAATCAGAACGAACGCGGGCGGTGGTGTGATGGATAACACGTCACGCTCAGAAGTGAAGGGGGATGGTTCGGTTCCCTATCGATCCAAAACCATTTTTGAAAAGCAATCCCGTTCACGGCATTTGTGGTTCAAACCTCCAAATATACCACTTTTGCACGAAAAGGAATGTATAAACTTTCATGATGTTATTCAGGTCAGCAATTTAAAGCAGTTTAAGAGAAAAAAAAAACATGTAAAATTACCGTGTATCGTTATGCACATCTCTGCAACCGATCGAACAGTATCGAGCACCACACCTTATACATGTGTATTTTGAGAAGAAACCGCATACAGCGCAAAACTGCCTCGGTGGAATCTGGCTAGGTGGAGCACGTGTCGAGTTGTAAGCATCAAAACCAGAAAATTCCATAGTCCTCGAGAGCTGGAAAAATTTCGATTCCGTTCAAAAACATTTGTCCATATAAACAATCAGACTATTCACATGCAGGATGTCACTGCTGCTACAAAAAAAAGTTAAATCTGATGGACATGGACTGTCCTTGGTTTTACTAATAACTGGGGAACCTCCTCATGTATTTATAATGCGGAATACTAGTGAAGTGAACGACCATAAGATCGATCCCCCAAAGAGGTGGCGCATATTCAGCACGCTATGGATATTAACTGAAAATATCCAGCTGAGGATCAAAAGGCCCAGACACTGCGTCAGTCTCCTAAATGCATCAATAACTTCAGTAATCGTTCCTGTGATGTTGATTTCCGTATTTTTTAATATTTTTTAATTATTTCTGGATGTGATACAACAAATCGTACCGATTCTTCCTCCACTAAAGCTGAGAAATTCTTTCGAAATCTCTGCTTGAAATGTTCCGCTTTGAATTTCTTCTTTTTCTTTCCTGGAAAATATTACTACAGTGTGGTAATAATCAAAAAACAACATCAGTTATCCATCTTAGAGTAATAATTCTCAAACAAATGTCTGGACAAAACTGCATAAAATTAACATAATGAACTAACGATACTACGAGGATATTCAATTATAACAGAAAAAGCTTCTTCACCAAAATACTGCTATTATGTCTCCCTTTCTCTGGCCCCTGTTCTTCTTGAATATAACTCCTTCAACATTTCATCGCGGTTTTTTCCAAATACAGTTTGACTCCTTTTAGTTAAATTTCTTTGTCGTTAAATTTTTTTCACTTCTTGATAAGATATTCAGTTTTTAAGTCAATTTTTCAGTTTTTCCTTTCAACCGGAACAACTTGCATAACTTTCCCATCAAAAATAAACGGGTTCCTCCACTTACTTTTCTACTGGATAAACTACTGCAAAAAATTCTGTTCCAGCTTTCAAACTATCAATCTTTTACCCAATTTTTCCGTATTCATTGAATCCACACTGTATTTTTAGAATTCATAACTTACCAGGCTCTCCATCTGGCTTACGACTGGTACTCTGTCCGGGTTGCTCATCGTCAAACTTCGGAATATTTTTATGCCATTGCAGTTGCGCATGCGGATCTTCATGAAAATTATCCTAAAAAATGAGAAATTTCAATGAAAAAAAATAGCTTCCACATAAAAATCTCTACTATCACTGAGAAATCTCGGGAGGAAACAAGACTTTTCGTCTACGAACTGAGTGATCGACCAGCGATGCAAAAACCACTCAGGACGCATATATTTCCCCACGAACAGTCCAATAAGCAAGTTTACCACGATTCATGCTCTTTAGCTATTACAGGTGGCAGCTATCGGTTCGGCATCAAAACAAATCCTATAGAAGCTAATTTCACGGCGAATACGTCTGAGACAAGGATTTCCCTTAAAGCGAGTATAAAAAATGAAAAGTTAGTATGAAAAATGAGAAGTTTATCACGTTTTGCCATGAGGTGGCTTTAAATATCTACATGGGACGGGTTCGAAAAGATAAGTGAGTTTCTTCAAAGGCTAAGACTGTAAGAGAGATGAGCTGATTCTTCCAAAAACTTCCAAAACCATGAAGGTCAAAAATTTTTACAGAAAAATATTTTCAATCCCAAAAAAAAAACACAGAACCGATCTGCCAGGTGGGCTCCAAAAACTAGGTATTTCAAATAAACTGTAAGCGATTTAGGCATACCTGTTCAAGTGCCTCAAGCTGCTTTCTCAATCGTCGTTTCCTTGTCACTTCATCCAGCACACGTGTCGCCTCAGCTGCGTATAAGCGGCCTAAATAATAACGCTCAGTTGCGAAAAATTTGATGAAAAACATAAAGCACTGTGCACTACGTTAGTGTAAAGCATATAACTGTCGTGAACAGAGACCTTTCCCAAAAATTGTTCTGGACCGGGAAGGAATCGAACCACTCCCCTTCACATCCGGACGCAGTGCGTTACCACTACACCACTGGACCTCGTATTCCAGGTTCACCCTCGCAGCACATTTACTGTGTATCTGCCTTTCAAGACAAAATATCCTTTTCTTTTATTCCCTTTTTTCTTTGTGTTAACTTCTTAGCCGGCTTTTCGCGCGTTTTCCGCGGCAGTAACTGATGTAGTGTTCTGGGAAGGAATGGATTGTTCAAGTGGTGTGAATGAGATAATAATAGATCCACAAAACGCTTGCTGAACAATAATTAAACATTTAGAAAATATTGGTAGAAATCCTGACCGATAGGTAACCTACTTGTTGAGCTGGAAGGACCACCAGTACGATGAAAGCACGAACTATACAGCCGCAAGTGGCTCATAAATAAGCACAATTTAAAAGCTACTAGTTGCATGTGTATCAATAAAGATAAAATGATCCCCGCACCAATATAATGCCACTGAATAAGTGTAGTACGCTATGAGCACACACACACACACACAAACACACGCACAAACACACACATAAACACACACACAAACACACACACACAAACACACACACACAAACACACACAAACACACACACACAC